CTCTCGTGGTAGACCAGCAGCGCTGAGATAGTTTGCCAGTCAGAGATATTCGCGACCACTACACTCCTCGACTTCAGATGACCATCGGCGAGACTGCTCAAGAGGTTGCCCATGGCTTGGAGACCCTCACGAGGCTGTAAGAAGTGCTCCCCTGCTGTCGGATTAATGTTGTATTTGGCAGACATACTGCTCGCGATCGACTTAGACCAGCCACCCCATTGAATAGACAATACGTCAGCTGAAGACTTCTCCGCGAAGTAGTCGGAGGCGGAGTTGGCGGCTGCGTAAACAGACTGCCCAGGATTGCCGAATGCGCTTGAACTCGAGGAGAACAACACGTACCGAGGACCCGATCCTAGCGCTTTCACGAGATTCACTGGGCCGAGGACTTTCGCGGCAACAGCTCGGTAAAGTTCTTGATAGTCAGAGGGAGCATTTTCAACAACAGCGTCTTCCACCACACCAGCACAGTGGAAAACGACGGTCACCATTCCACGATACTCAGATATGGCGTCGATAAGAGAAGCACTGTTACTGACGTCAGCGATCCGTACGTCGACCGGGCACTGCAGACTGAGCGAACTCAGCGACGAGGAGGCCGCTCGGCCGAGGAGAACGATCTTGTTGCAGCTGAGGTTGTCAACCGCCCACTTTGCAACGAGTTGCCCAAGACCACCAAAGCCGCCCGTAATCACAATGACACCATCACCGAGCTGCTGGCTGAGGTCAGCCCTTGGCGTCGCTGGCGGACTACGGCAGAGTTGCCGAAGCTTAACAGTACCATCTGCCACTTTGTACTCCCCTAAACTGGGCAACTCGATGAACGAGGGCAAGTTCTTCATATCGAGAACTCGGACAATCCTCAAGCCTAGGTTGGAACCATGTTCGGACATGAGCGACCTTGCGAAACCCACGACTGAGCTTGCACACTGGCAGTCACGTATCACCAAGAACGTGTCCATGTGGGAGAGCAGACGGCCGTTCGGTATCAAACTCTCCTGTACAAACTTGATAACATCGCCGAGGAGACTTATAGGATCACTATCGTCTTCGGCGTCTACCACTACGATGGCTCGACCGAGCGACTTCACCACGACGTCGAACTCAGATACATCTCGGCACCACATGACATCCCCGCAGCTCGGAACCCGTCCTAAGAGGCGGATACCAGCGAGCTCCCTCGAAGGTCCATTATCAAGAGAAGGAGGAGTTACCGGAAGGTCTTTCCAGTCCTCAATGTACATCATACTGGTCACGTCAGAGGCAGACGATGCTGGGTGAGAGTCTCTGCTGGTGTCTCGATCTGCCGGCCAGCACTTTGTTCGTCTCCACCCTCTCATCGGCAATGAGAGAACTCTCGACAACCCCTCTTTCTCGGGCACCGGTGGCTTGGATAGGATTCCCTTGGCCCACATTGCACCGCGCAGGACGTCATCAGTCTTGTCGTAGTAGCGCGCCGCGCATAAGACTTCGGCGCTAGGGACACATTCGCGAATAAGAGTTCTCATGCCCGCACCAGGCCCCACATCGATGAACATCGTTCCACTTTCGCCGGCCTCCTTCAGGGCGCGTCCAAGCATCACCGTTCGTCTTGTCTGGCGGCACCAATACCGAGCAGAAGCGAAATCGCACTCGCCATCGACATGCGTGGCGGTGCTGATGAGGTTGTACTTGCAGGGTTTCCTAAGGTCCGGAACGAGGACTGGAATCTCCTTCTCCAATACGGCCACTGCTCGGTCAACGTATGTCGAGTGGAACGCCCCTGCAGTATCTAGCACTTTGCAAGGCACTTTAAGTGTGGCCTTGAAGCTCTCAATCGACTCAGGTGGGCCGCTCACAACGATGCGCTTGTCAGCATTCGCGCAGGCCACTTCGACGCCACTCGGCAGCTGTGATAGATCTTCTAGGGTCAAACCATTTATAGCTAACATTTTGCCTGTGTTGCCTTCAGTGATGAGTCTTGCACGGAGGCGCACGATCTGCAATGCTTGTTTTAAAGGCATCACCCCGCAAACAGTCGCGGCCACCCATTCACCCAGCGAAGCACCGAGCAGCTGGATTCGAGTGGTTTCGGGTATGATACGTAGAATGCGCAAAACCGTAGAATAGGAGATGGCGAACAAGGCGACCTGTGCTGTGACGGGATTCGGCTGGCGATGATAGGTGAGGACAGGGTCCTCGCCCAGAAGAGCAACTATCTCGGGTTCGATGAATACCATTCCAGGCTGAGGCAGAGCCAGACCTTGTCCGGGACAAACAAGCGTAACGCATTCACAAGCACCAGAACATTCATTGACATCCTCGAAGTCTATATTTGCCAACTGAGCAATAGCAGCGTCAGGGAGGGAGCTGGTGACCTCGACGACAGTCCGATACGGAAGGGATGGTCGAAACACGCCGAGCGTGTACGCGACCGACGCAAGATCGACAGAGTCGGGGGAGATCCGGAGGAACTTGATGAGACCCTCCACTTCCTTTCGCAGGCCGTCTTGGCTGTACGCAGAAAAAGGGATACATATGGGAGCCTTCTCAGACACGGCCATCGGTGACTTGACAGCGTGCGGCCCGCTCTCTATGATAATGTGGGCGTTAGTGCCACCAATACCCAGGGCGCTGATAGCCGCAACTCGACGTGATCCATACCACGGCTCGAAGACACGTTGGAGCTCCATGTTCGATGCTTCGAGACGATGCAACAAAAGAGGATTCACATTCCCTGAAAATAGAATCGATCTCCCGTGGGACGGCCTTTATAGTACCTACCTTCCGAGGATGAGCCAGAAGGGACTAACACCGCCTCATATACGCACATAGCGGCTTTAGCGAATCCCATGGCCCCAGCTGCTGTATTCGCGTGTCCGATATTGCCCTTCACGCTTCCCACGGAAATTTTTCCCTCGCCTTTGTTCCTCCAGTATTGACCACTAAGAGCTTCAGCCTCTATAGGGTCCCCAACATACGTCCCAGTGGCATGAGCCTCTATCATTCCCACTTCTCCACTGATGGCACTGCTGCAGTCATTCTGAGCCGCTCGAATAGCTCTCTCGTGGCCGTCGACGCTGGGGGCTGAGAACGGCTCACCAGCCCCATCGTTGCAAACCCCTACTCCCGAGATAAGACAGTAGACCGGATCGCTGTCTCTCAAAGCGTCGTCATAACGTTTCAAGAGGAAGCAGTGACCACCGTTGCTGTTCGCCGTCCCACTGGCCTGGTCGGTGAAGGGCTTGCACTTGCCGTCCGAGCTCCATATCATGCCTTCCTGGCTCGCGTGCTCATTCTGCGGCAGAACCACCGATACGCCACCGCAAAGGGCCATGTCACAGGTCCCATCACGCAGAGCTTCCACAGCTTGGCAGATGGCGACGAGAGCTGATGAGCATGCTGTACCAATACACATGGAGGGACCAGTGAGGTTTAACGCATGGCTAGTGCGCATGGCGATATAGTCCTTATCGTTGCCCATCTCCAAGGTGAAATACCGGTCCGGGTCGGACATGCGAACTGAAGGGAGGCTCTCGCCAGGCTCCAGCAACAGAGATAGATAGTGCGGAAGTGAACCACCGGACACGAACACCTACAACAATAAAAAAAACGAATAATAAGCCGCAGCTGAGGCTCCCTCCGATGCCAACATTACCCCACAGTTTATCGCTTCCCCCGTCTCTATGGCGGGCCCCATGCCTCCATCAGTGAGCGCTTCGTAGGCCATCTCCAGCCACATGCGTTGATGAGGATCCAGCAGTAGGGGGTCCGAAACCCCTCTATGGGACCAGAAGTCAACGTCGAAGCCAGAAACCAGATGTGGGTCTAGATAGTAACCGCCGGGCACATTACCTAATGCCAATACAATAGCAGCTGTGTAGTAGATCGGTGACTTACCAACGCCCGTGTGCCCGTCAGGAGGAGCCGAGAAAGGATTGAACGCGGCCGGCTCGCCCCTGAGGGCCTCCAGAAGAGCCGAAAAACTAGTCTGGCCAATGCCAGGCCACCTTCCACTAGCGCCAACAACAGCAATCCGTCGATCTTCATTCGCATCGCTCCGCCTCAAGCTGGTCCCAAGCTGCAAATTCCTCCTCGGCGCATCACGACCTTGCGTCAAGAAGTCTATGATGTCTCTCGGAGTGTCCAATGTGCCGTCCAAAATGAACTTCGCTGGAATCCTCAATGCTGCCGCTATTCTCATCGCCGTCAAAGATTGACCACCACACTGGCGCCAGAAGGACCCATCAAGAGAGAAATCGATGCCCAAAGTATCCTCCCAGACAGAAGCCACTCGCTTCTCGATCTGTCCACGCATGGAACTTTTACTAGCATTGAGGGTGTCTTGCGAACTCTTCGCGCGAGCCCTCCTCACATCAGCGATAAGCTCCTTGACTTTACCCTTGTCGATCTTGCCCGTTTTCATCATAGGGAAGGCGCCTTGCCAATGAACCGCCCTCTGCGGAACATGTCCTGCGGGGAGGTCCTCGGCACGGAGGAAGTCGAGGAGATCATGGGGCTCCACAGCTCCAGCTGGCGCAGTATAAGCGATCACCAGCTCATCCTGGGCAGGCATCGCGCACACTTCCCCCACCCCTACGAAATCTCGAGCCTTCGCCTCGACCAGGCGCAAGTCAACTTTGAAGCCACGGATCTGACAAGGGTTACACACGACACAGATCTGCGAGGTCGCTCCCAAAGACGGCTCACCTTGACATTATCATCAGCTCTTCCCACAATAGCCAGGCCGAGTCCGTCGATGGGCTTCACCCTGTCCCGAGATCTCCATCCATACCCGGAGCCGAACCCCGCTGCAGTCTGCTCGCTGTCCTCTACATAGGCCATCGTGCCACCAATATGATCCACATAAAGCTCTCCTTCCCCAGCGCCAGCTTCGTCTGACAGAACGACAGTGAAATGCCCAAGCGATATGAATAACAGACAAACTCCCCACTGCTGAGGCAAATAAGGCGAGTGGCTCCACATACCTTTTTCATCTATCTTCTCTATGTGCAATTTCACGTTCCATATGGGATTCCCAATCGGAGCGAACGCCATAGCATCCGACCACAGAGGTATCTCCCCCTCAGTAATAGAGCAGAAAGCCGCATCTCCGGTCTCAGTAGTCGAGAACAAGTTGATGATGCGCGACCCTTCAGGTTGAGTCTCGAAGAACTTCCGACATACCTGTGACCGACTTGCGAGAGGCTAGATGCCTCCTCCTAGCACCGCCTACCTGCACTGAAAGAGGTTCGCCGCTGACTACCACCTTAGGAGGAAGGCGTTCGAGTTCCCCATCTTCCTGAGGAAGTGAAATTAGCTCCGTGATGAAGGCGAGAAACGCTGTGAAAAGTGCATAACTCCCATAACCCGAACTAAGTGCTCTCGCTGAGCCCTACAACAGTCCACACCCTCCCTGAATCTCCACTCTCACGAGACAGTCTCCAGAGGCCTACCTCGCCACTGATATAGTCGAGCATAGCTCCTAGTAGGGAAGGCGTCATGCAATCCACAATAGTCACAGCATTGCAGCGCAGCTTCCTCGCGTGTACCTCCTGACAGCGCCAGCACCCTCATAAGGAGGCCTCCAATTGCAGACCTACCAAATCGTTCAGCTCCTTGTCTTGGATCAGCACCGTCGAGGCGCCGATACAAAGGGGCTGCCACCAATACCACAACAGGAAGAGATTGGCAGCAATAACCTCCCGCATCGCTCCGCTGTTGAAAAACATACGTTCATCGCTCCACGCCCAAAGCATCATATTAATTAAAGTTTTGTGCGTAGTAACAACACCTTTCGGGAGACCGCTCGTGCTCCCGCTCGTCCAGTCCACAAAACACGGCGATTCCGCTGTCGCCAGTATTTGGGGTGCCTCTACAGGGAATTGAACCGGGCTGCTCATTCCATCGACCACGACCTCCTTATTAATAAAGTCCAGCGCTACATCCGTACGACAAGGGATTCTCGCCATACCACCGACTGGAGCAGAGTGAGCCTCCCGATCACAGCAAATCCAAACTTTCGGCACCCAACGCTCAAGCATTCTCTCGCGAGCAGGAGCGTTGGTCAAAGTGCGTCGATCCATCAAAGAAAAAGGCACTCCCGAAGCGGCTAAGGCATACATAACCACGGCCCAGGTGAGTCTCGAGCACGGGGAGTCCGAGAAGGTCACCAAAACATGTGCACCTCGCTCCACCGTACGCATGCACATACGCTGGACAATACCGGCATATGCCACAAACTCTTCGTAAGTGATCGTCTGGTCTCCACATGTGAGCGCCACCTTCTTTGGCTGAAGCTTCCATGCTCTTTCAACCAAGACCGGCCACGGGACGGCGATCAGTGGGTGCGTCGACAAGGCTTCGTGAACTTTGCTCAGGGCGTGTTCGGGATTCTCAACATCTTCCTTAGAAATCTCCATATAACGATCGGCATTTTTACGGATCGGAGATTCAACATCGAGGTGCTCGAGAGTAGCCAGTGCGTATGGCCCCCAAGCGCGGTTCCACATCCACCCAGAGCCTGCCCATACCAGGTGTACAACACGTTACTCGTCCAGAAGCGCTCGGGCGACCAAAGATCACGATCAATTCTGAAAGACCGAAGATGACCAGCATGAGCAGCAGTCCCTCATCCCTATACAGTCCATCTGGTCGTATATAACCAACGCCAGCTCATGAATCCATCCTGTCGGAGCCACTCGACGACGAGGAGGAGGAGGGTGGGCATTTGGTCATCACTCAGGTGGAGGAAGAGTTAGAGGGAAAACTCAAGCTGTTAGCCACTCTGATGACGTCGATGATGCCTTTGAGATGAAGGTGATTAACGTTCCACTTGTGACTCGTATAACCTACCATTTCAGAAGTGTGAGATTTTTTTCAACATAAAAGTGATGCCCTGACTCCTTCCGAGCGCCTACATTGGCTACTCCTATGAAATGCAACACTACCACATTGATACGCACCCTCGACTTCATGTGAGTTGAACGTGAAAATTCTGCGGATACCACCAGCTAGGGTCTCCTGAGTCCTACAACGTGCAGCCTCATACAGATGAAGGACTCCACGTAGCAGTTTTCAGAGCATCCACTATTTCTACATTAACAATACTAGCAGGACCATGGCACCGACCTGGAAGCGAAGAGTTACCCACAGCAGTCGAGACAGGTGCATCATTATACTGCTGGGCAACCCCTAGGAAGGATCCAACGAAGCAATTAATATAGAGCCGTAATCGTATGCCAAGAACCCTACAGACACCCAGCCCTGACCCCCTATGTGCACCCAGGGCACTGGTGAGGACGATTGATCACAGAAGAACGCGAAGACACTGATATACTGCGCTATGAAACTTATCCGATTCCAGCAACATATTGGGGGTATCATATTCACTTAGCGGCCGTAGTTCTCGCGCGCATCTTCGCTCGAGCAGCGCTGATCTGACAAAACGCAAGCAATGCAACGCCAAGATCCCATCAACCACAGGTCAAAACCACCAAGTCCGACTCGGCCTACTACCATCTGCTCCTTAGCGATGAGATGGCCAGTGGACTCGACCAAGTCCAACAGGTTATGTATATCTGAGCTCCACTTATCCAAACGCTGGGTTGTAGTCAGCCTCCGACCGAACCTGAGATAAGGTATGCGACATTAGAGTATGTGAGCTTCGCTCCGCCTACCTGATTATTCCGGCGGGACGGTCAATCTTGGCATCAAGGAAGCCACCAGTCACGAGCTCGCATACTTCCTTCTCAGTCTCGTCCACAGTAACTCCAATCATCTTCGCCCTAGCAACGAGAGCAATGCCACAAGCGAACATTCCAATGGCACCGCGACTTACAGAGACGCAGAATGAATCCTGGTGTAGTACACGGCAGCCACTTTCACGATATTCTGAGGAACACAAATTTCGCTCCGCCGAAAACAAACTATGTATAGGGGAACATCTCGACTACTCACATGTTGGACAACGCGCTTCCGGAAAAGGCTCCACCTCTCGGCCCCGCTGAAAACGAACAACTGCCAGAAGGTCAAAGCGTCTAACCTACCCCAAATATTCCGCCTCCTTGTCGGCAACAGCATCATTGAACACCTGAATTCCACAACATGCTTTTCGCCCAATAAAAAAACCAAGTCAAAGTACCTTATGAGCCTTGACAGTCTCTTCGTTGGGAAGCGGAGATGGCACTAGCTCCTCAGCCAGGAACGCGTTCAGCAAATCACTGACAATCAAGAAATGCCGAGTCCGCATCACCGATAGTTAGCATATGGGAGCTCACCTGTATACAGGGACGCTCTCCAAGCGCTTCTTCTCAGACTCTCGCAGCTTGTACAGAGAATCGCTTTGCTCATTGGTGTAAGGCGACAGGATCAGGTACAACACCGAGCACTCCAGAGCCTAGAAAACCACAACAGGAGGTATGACAGCACACACAGGAAACACTACTACTTCAGTCCATTTGGACTCGTCCTCCTGAGTCTTCTTAGTATTCAGTATAGCTCGGTAGCACTTATACACCTATCAGAACGACGCTGAGAACGATTCCATGCGTCCCGGACTCACCTCCAGGTAGTTCTTCTCGTGAAGCCAGTAGCGAACAAGATACCTATCAGTAGCAACAGCTATCACCAGCTCACGTCCCCATCATTACGTATAGTATGTGATCTTGATATCCTGCATGCCCTCATCTCTCTCCAACTGCCTCGGGTTGATCTTCCTCGATATGATTTGTGTGCCTGTGAAGTCGAATCCTCTACATTCACAGTGCGCATATCCTACGTATGTAGTCGCCTTTTCGCAGCACTAGACGCATCTGAGTGACGAGTGCATGAGATGAAGCAATAGGCTCTTAGATCGCTCCCCACCTGTTCCAGAATGTATTCGGCCTTCTCGTTTTTCTCCATCGCACCACATGTCTCAACCTGCTCATCTTGGATGATGTTCGCGGCCTAACAATTCGAAACGTGTACCGTAGCCTCATGGTGCACTCATAGGTATGACGAATAGACCTGGGGGTATACCTCAATCGGTTCTCCATCTTCCTCCTTCATGTGTGCAAGCCTCAAACGCAGTCGAGCGCGCTCAACTTCGACGAATATCTTGCCTAAAAAATACGTCAAGTCGACGTCAACGTTATCACTCGAACCCCTGAACATTCTCAACGCTCAGCTATCAGATTATCATACAGGCGAAGTCGCACTCTGAGGGTGCACATCAGTGACGGTAAACGACTACTACGGTCCGCCCA